TCCAAAACATAGCTAAATGGACAAATATTGATGAGGTGAACTTTGCCAAAGATAATAACCTCAGTAAATTGGGGACAAACAATATTACTCCAAATGAATTCAACTATTTTTCGATGCAAGCCTACCCTCACCTGGCGAAGTGTGCTATAAAGCTTTGATTCGACGTGCTATTGTGTCCTTATGCAAGCCAGCATTTACAACATTTTTGGCATCAAAACAAAACAAAAATAAAAACTGATTGGATATCAAGCATGCCACAAATGCTGCTATCTCAAAATTGCTCGAAACTTTCTCCTACTTCAAGCCAAACCTCTACAGCCTTTATATCGAAAGTTGATGATAACCTGAACTGAAGTTCAAGTTTTGCTTTGCTTGGAAATTTTGGTTTTATTTCCTTTTTACCATGACGTAGGCCTAAGTTTTGCATTAAAATGAGCAAAAGGGGCATAGGCTTGTAAAGAATGTTTTAGAAAGAATGTGTAATCAATTTCTAATATCATAAAATAGGTAATATCTAGATTTTTGTGCATATGTTCAGGTACTTTTTTCTTGTAAGTTCACAGCTTTCATCAGTCTCAAAGAGGCTAATAATCTTAAAAAACTGACAAAAAAGTTACTCCTCTGATTTAGATACCGACCTCACATAACACACACACCATCTTGCAACAATTTAAGAATTATGTCGGTGCAGTGGCTCACACCTGTAATCCCAGAGCTTTGGGAGGCCAAGCAGGTCGATTGCTTCTGGCTAGGAGTTCAAGACCAGCTTGACCAACATGGCGAAACCCAGGCTCTACTAAAAACACAACAATTAGCTGGGTACATTGATATATACCTGTAATTCAACTACTTGGGAAGCTGAGACATGAGAATCACTTGAACCCAGGAGACGAAGATTGCAGTGAGCCAAGATCGCACCACTGCACTCCAGCTGGGTGACAGACCAAGACTCTGTCTCAAAAAAAAGAAAAAAAAAGGAAAAAGAAAAAAATACATGGAAGAAAATAAAATCACAACACTTAGCAGAAAATATAGATATTTAGCACATTTGAAGCTGAGAAAAAGCTTTCTGGACAAAAAAGCAAGAGAAAAACATTTCATTGATAAATAAACGTGGGAAAGACATCCCTGTAGAAGATATCAACAAAATAAAAAGACAAATAAAACAGGAAAAATATTTGCAAGAAATACAACAGTCAAAAAACCTGACATAAAGGAGCAAATAAATCCATAAGAAAACACCCGCTTTTCAGTGAAATAAGTGTAAAAACACATGGAATGAATGCTTTCAAAAGAGAATATACAAATGGAATATAAAAAGTTCAATATTAATCTCCATAATAATAATAAATCAAGTTAATACAAGACCATTTTGTCTATAATATTACCAAAGATTTTTTAAAAAAGCTTTATAAGGAAAAGCTATGAGGAAGATGAGCATTTTCTACAGCTGTGGAATAACAGCACATTAGTACTGGCTTTTTAGAAAGCAATTTTGTAATGTGTGTCAAATGCTTTTAAAATAACGTAGAAGCCACCCTTGGCCCTCTGAAAGTTCACTGAAAAATCAGCTCACAAAAGGTAGAATAACAGGAAAAAAGGCATACCAAATTATTTAATGTGTATATATGGGAGTCTTTAGAAGACCCAAAGATATAAAGGAAATTGTTCATTTTTATGTGTAGGTTTAACAAAATATGGATAGCTGTGTAGAAATATAAATGGACAAAAGGGTATGCTCCAATACTAACAGCCTGAGTGGAGAAACCCAGCAAGGTCTGTCTGCCTAGATTCTTCTTGGCCTCTCTGGGCATGTATTCCTTCCTTCTGGGTGTAGGGGAGGACTCGCTCTGGAATGGGAGTCTTATGACCTACAGTTAAACGAGGTAGGCCAGATAACTTTTTTATGGCCACTTTTTACACAAATAGGGCAAAGGGAAAATGAGAGTAACATTTCTAGGTTTTATGATTAGCCCTGGCGAGAAGGGGTTCTGGTTTCTATGACCCGTCGTGGGGAAGAAGGATTCTAGTTTCTGTGGCTTGCCTCAGGAAAAAATGAGACCGAGAAACAAGAGGGCAGAAAGAGGTCAGAGAAAAACTATGGTTGTTGAGGCTGCTTCTGGGGCCTCCATTTTGGGGTATTATTTTTCAAGCCCCAACATTGGTCAGTTTCTTTAGCTCAGTGATTTAATTTCAAATCATTTATATCTAAGGGAAAAAATCCAAAATGTAGACAAAGAGTTCACGTAGAAAGAGTTCATTTCAGAGTTATTGTCTTAAAAAACTAAAAAAGAAAGTCAAGGGAACAATTAAGTCTATCAAGGTATATCCATGCGATTGACTATGCAGTTACTGAAATATTGTTTGCAGTGAGTTTCTTGGATAACACAATCTAAAACCAATGGTCTGTTAAATAAGGAAAAAAAGATGTAGTAAAAAAAATGCTGAAAAGGAAAATTTTAAGGAAATATGACAAAATGTTTATAGTAGTTGTTTCCAGGTAAGATCTGAGTGATTATTTTTATTTTTTGTAGTTTGCAAATTATCTACAATAACATATATTACACTCAGGGAAATTAAATTTAAATTTAACACATCAAGTTTAGATCATGGATACCGGCAGAAATGTTCTAAAGAAAAAGAAAAGAAGTCATCTCATATGAATGAGCAAATAATGAGTTCAAAGTTTCAAAATTTCTAGTGAGAGAAAAGGTTTTATTGCTGTTTGTTTCTCAGCTTAGCTGTTCAGTGGCATTAATTTTTCTGTGACTAGAATGCTGTTGAGTGTTCTTGAAATGGAAAATCATAAACTGATCATTGTCTCCAAATTGACAAATCAACTTTTCAGGCAGGAAGAGGAAACAGTTTGAGGCTAGTGAGGATTTACAAATAATATGAAAATAATATGACTTACAAGAACTAAAATATTGTTTAGAAATGGTGAAGAAATGGCTACCCAATGATATAAATGTTGCTGCTTGAAAAGTGAGCTTTAAAATTTAATATGTTCTCCAAGGAAAACATGGAGCTTTGAGTTGCAAAATAATTTAAAGAAGGTTATAAAGTTAATGAAATCAGATTTTCCTTTGGGTTTGTAAGAGATGAGGACCTTCCCTAGTCTCACCCTTCTGGATGAGGCCTATTAGAGAGAAACTGATAGACTCCATGTTGTAAGAGGTTGAGCGGCCTGGCTGAACTCTTCTTCTATCCATTCCTGAACTCATAGGACTTTAAACTTTAATGTTAAAACTTGAAGAACTATCAAACTTCCTTTGTAAAAAATAATTGTAGGCTGCTGAATGCTACTATTTTTTTAACATTGATTATTAATTACAGAAAAAATGATAATATAAAAAGTTAAGAAATCATATATCCCGCAACTGGAGAATGGTTAAAGTATGGTATTTCCAGAGTGTTGAATACTATGATTATGTTCAGCATGGACTATAAACTTAAATGCCTACAGAGACTAGGTAGATAACATAAATGAGTGCAGTGGCCCTGTATTAGGACTTGGGAGCAATAGAGATTGAAGATTTGAAGGGTGAATACTTCATCTACAGAAGGAAGCCGCTATTTGGTTCCAGTCAGTTGTTGGTCTTCTTCAGTGTTGTCAGAACTTCCTGTTTTTAAAACACTTATATTTGGAAATAATTTCAGATTTACAAAAAGTTGCAAAAATAAGATATAACAAAAAAATACCTATGCACTTTACTTACCTTCTTTTAGTTATTAATTTTGCAGTCCATTTGAATTCTCTGTACACATGTACATACACACACACACACACACAAACACACACACACACAATTTTCGGAACCATTTGAGGGCATGTTAAATACATCACGGCTTTTTACGCCTAAATACTCCATTGTGTATTTCCTACAACTAGAAACCTGAACCCTACTGTTCTTGAGCTGGGACACCTGGAGTGGGATGAAGAGATGGCATGAGGAAGTCCTCTCCCCTGGCCAGTAGGGGACAGTCAATCAGCTGCTACTCCCAAACAGAGCGGTAACCTCAAGCAGAGGTTGAAAATCACTGCACTAGACAATTGTCATTATAAAAATAATACCTCCAATATATGCATATTCATTTATAAATTAAGTTTACGTACAAGTCTACTGATGTATTATGTGCCTTATAAAACATATACTTAAAAAGGATAAGATGAAATTAGATATTAATACAAACACAAAATTGAATTTTTCTTTCTGTACTCCAAGGGAATATCTTGCCCTTCTAAGGTTATGTGCCTCGTAACCTTGGGAACTATTGCTCTACACTGTGGGGGTTAAACAGGAAAAAGACCACCATGATTTCCAAACCTGAGTCTGGGTCCTGCTCCCTGATGTATCCCTTTAACATCTGCCAGCTCTCTCTATCACAACACACTGCTTTCTTTGCCTTCATGGTACTTATTACCACTGGCAGTCATCTTGCTCATCTGTGTGTTCATTTGTCTAACACCTTTCTGCCCCGACTAGAACATAGCTCCCTGAGAGCCAGGATCTTGCCTGGCTTGTTCATTTCTAATTTCTCAGTATCTAGAGCAGGGTGTGCCACATAGTAGGTGCTTGTTAGATACTTGTTAATAAATGGAACTAAACATATCCCTAGTTCCTATTCCAGCTCTTTCCCCACTGTTTTGTCTTCCATTCTTCTAGTAGGCAACAGGACAAGTCCCCCGAACCCCTGCAGGAAGCTAACAATACCCTAGCCTACTTCTACACAAAACCACTCAGCTTCAAAGACCTTCCATGGAGGGCGACAGGCTGAGGACAATCTTGTTCTTCACATACAAAACAGGCCTACAATCTCAAATTCATAATTTAAAAATACATATACTTACAATATCTCTAAAGGCATTTTTATTTTTCTTAGAAATCATGTATTTGTAAGCTGAACTATCATTTTAACACAAAAGCTATCATTCTCGCTCAATGGAGTCAGGCTGCTCTTGGAGTTTCTGTCCTGGGAGGAAAAAGGGCAGGATGTACCTGATGGTTTTCCACACGTCGAAGCCGTCCAGAGGCTTGGTACCATTGGTGTGTCCCCCGGCCAGTTTCACAAGTGTTGGCAGCCAGTCCGATATGTGGATGAGCTCCCGGTTCTTTACGCCCTTCTGCTTCAGCAAGGGGCTTGCCACAAAGCCCACCCCTCGGACGCCGCCTTCCCACAGGCTCCATTTCCTTCCTCGAAGGGGCCAGTTATTGCCTCCTGCCAAAGTCTGCCCTCCATTATCTGAAACACAGGTAGGTCTTGGCATGAGGATGATGTTAACCCTTAAATACATTTAACAACAGAGACTCTATGTACAGTGTTATTAAATTGGTGCTTAAAGAATAAAAAAGGAAATTCCTTATCTTTCCCACACTAAATTCCCTTTTCCCATTGACACTGCCTTTCATTACCCAGTCATAACTAAGTCCCAGTGTGATGCATATGTACCTCCAAATCCTCCATGGAAAAGGCCATTGAAAAATGAGGCAGTTCCCTGATGACATGCACTTTGGAGAGATCCCTATGACAAATAATCCATAAACTTTAAATACACGTGTGTTACTTTGTGTAGCATGGGAAAATGAGTCCATGGAAGCCGGGACCCTCCCCATACATGAAGAGAAAACTAAGTGAATTTCACTTAGTGACTTAATGCTCCTGGTAAGTTGGGACAAAAACTAACCTTTTTCTTTTTCTCTTGGAAAAAAAAAATTCTAGAATTTAAAGTGGAAAATGAATTAACATTCTGCTTCCTGGCAATAATATCTCTTTCTTAAGTGTGAAAGCTGAGTACTTCTCCAGTGGTTGATAAATGTCTCTGTAAACAGAGAATTGGCTGGAAAAAATAATTGTGAGAAAAATTCTTCCCTTCTTGACAGGATGGTGAAATAAAGCTTCATTATGTACAATACCAGGGAAGAGAAGGTTTCTCTTCCCACTTTGGCAAAGACAGGGTAGAAGTTACTAGAGAAAATGAAGTTAAGTATCTTACCAGCCAGGTGAAGGCTCAAAGTGAAACATTAAAGTGGACAGTAGAACAGGTTCAGAGGAGGGATCCAAGATGGCCAAATAGGAACAGCTCTGAAGTGCAGTCCCCAGCGAGAACAATGCAGAGGGTGAGTGATCACTGCATTTCTAAATGAGTTATTACTGCCCACAGACCAGGAGATTCCCAGGCTGAAAAGCACCACTAGTTTCCAGCACAGCTGTTTCAGCCGGCACAGTGGGTCTCTGCACAAAAACTCACACAAATCTGGACGGCCGTTTCAACTGGCACCTGGAATGCCTGGAGATGGAGCCACCCATTCAACTGAAAAAAAGGGAGCTGAAACAGGGAGCCAGGTGGTCTGGCTCTGCAAGTCCCATCCCCACAAAGGCCAGCAATCTGAAACGCTCTGGATTGAGAGTTTCACAGCAAGCACAGCTGGACCCAGGATGGTCTAGCTCTGTGGGGGGAAAGGCATCTGCCATTACCGAGGCAGTCCACCACTACCGAGGCAGTCTGCCATTACCAAGACAATCTGCCATTACAGAGGCAGTCTGCCATTACTGAGGCAGACTGTCATTACTGAGGCAGTTCTAACCATACCTCTATAAACAAAACTGCAAGGAAGTTCACACAGTAGCAGGGCAGAGCCCACGGCAGCTCAGCAACGCCTCTGCTGGTAGACTGTGACTAGGCTACCTCCTTGTTGGGTAGGGTATCTCTGAAAAAAAGGCACAGCATGTCAGGAACGTATAAATAAAGTCCCACCTTCCCAGGACAGAGCACCAGGGAAAAAAGGCGGTTATGAGTTCTGTTGCAGCAGACTCAAATGTACCTGCCCAGCAGCTCTGAATGGAACAATGGAGCTCACAGATCAGTACTTGAGCTCCTATAAGGACAGACTGTCTCCTCAAGCAGCTCCCCAACCCCTGCATAGCCAAAGAGACACCTCATAAAGGAGAGCTCAGGCTGACATCTGGTGGATACCCTTCTGGTAGGAAGATAACACAAGAAGAAACTAGCAGAAACCCTTACTGTTCTGCAGCCACTGCAGGTGATCCCCAGGCAAGCAGGGTCTGGAGTGAAGCTCAGCAGTCCTACAGCAGAGGGGCCTGACTGTTAGAAGGAAAACTAAGAAACAGAAATAAATAACTTCATCATCAATAAAAAGGACGTCCACTCAGAGACCCCATCGGAAAGTCACCAACTACAAAGAACACAGGTACATAAATCCACAAAGATGGGAAGAAGCCAGTGCAAAAAGGATGAAAACACCCAAAACCAGAATGTCTCTCCTCTTCCAATGGATCACAACTCCTCACCAGCAAGGGAACAAGGCTGGATGGAGAATGAGTCTGATGAATTGACAGAAACAGGCTTAGAAGGTGGGTAATAAGAAACTTCTCTGATCTATAAGAACATGTTCTAACCCCATGCAAAGAAACTAAGAAATTTGAAAAAAGGTTTGACAAAATGCTAATGAGAATAAACAGCTTAGAGAAGAATATACATGACCTGATGGAGCTGAAAAACACAATGCAAGAACTTCGCGAAGCATACACAATTTTCAATAGCCGAATCGACCAAGCAGAAGAAAGGATATCAGAGATTGAAGATCAGCTCAATGAAATAAAACGAGAAGGCAAGACTAGAGAAAAAAGAGTGAAAAGAAATGAACAAAGCCTACAAGAAATATGGGATTATATGAAAAGACCTAATCTGCGTTTGATAGGTGTACCTCAATGTGATAGAGAGAATGAATCCAAGCTGGAAAACACTCTTCAGGATATTATCCAGGAGAACTTCCCCAACCTAACAAGGCAGGCCAATATTCAAGTCCAGGAAATACAGAAAACACCACAAAGATATTCCTCATCAAGAAGAGCAACCCCAAGGCACATAATTGTCAGATTCATCAGGGTTGAAATGAAGGAAAAAATGCTAAGGGCAGCCAGAGAGAAAGGTTGCATTACACACAAAGGAAAGCCCATCAGACTCACAGCGGATCTCTTGGCAGAAACCCTACAGGCCAGAGGAGAGTGAGGGCCAATATTCAACATCCTTAAAGAAAAGAACTTTCAACCTGGAGTTGCATATCCAGCCAAACTAAGCTTCATAAGCAAAGGAGAAATAAAATACTTTACAAACAAGCAATTGCTCAGAGATTTCATCGCCACTAGGCCTGCCTTACAAGAGCTCCTGAAAGAAGCACTAAACACAGAAAGGAACAACCAGTACCAGCCACTACACAAACATACCAAATAGTAAAGAGCATTGACACAATGAAGAAACTGCATCTACTAATGGGCAAAACAACCAGCTAGCATCAAAATGGCAAGATCAAATTCAAACATAACAATATTAACCTTAAATGTAAATGGGCTGGCTGGGTGTGGTGGCTCACGCCTGTAATCCCAGGACTTTGGGAGGCCAAGACGGGCAGATCATGAGGTCAAGAGATCGAGATCATCCTGGCCAAAGTAGTGAAACCTTGTCTCTACTAAAAATACAAAAAAATTAGCTGGGCATGGTGGCGCATGCCTGTAGTCCCAGCAGGAGAATTGCTTGAATGTGGCAGGCAGAGATTGCAGTGAGCCGAGATTGCACCACTGCACTCCAACCTGTTGCTTGGCGACAGAGTGAGACTGTCTCAAAAAAAAAAAAAAAAAAAAAAAATGTAAATGGGCTAAATGCCCCAATCAAAAGACACAGACTGGCAAACTGGATAAAAAGCCAAAACCTATCAGTGTGCCATATCCAGGGAACTCATCTCATGTGCAAGGATACACATAGGCACAAAATAAAGGGATGGAAGAAGATTTACCAAGCAAATGGAGAACAAAAAAAAGCAGGAGTTGCAATCCTAGTCTCTGATAAAACAGACTTTAAACCAAGAAAGATCAAAAGAGACAAAGAAGGGCATTACATAACGGTAAAAGGATCAATGCAACAAGAAGAGTTAACAATCCTAAATATATATGCACCCAATACAGGAGCACTCAGATATATAAAGCAAGTTCTTAACAACCTACAAAGAGACTGAGGCTCCCACACAATAATTGAGGGGGACTTTAACACTTCACTGTCAGTGTTAGACAGATCAATGAAACAGAAAATTAACAAGGATATCCAGGACTTGAACGCAGATCTGGACCAAGCAAACCTAATAGACATCTACAGAATTCTCCACCCCAAATCCACAGAAATATTCTTCTGGGGATTTGGGATATACATTCTTCTCAGCACCACATCACACCTACTGTAAAATTGACCTCATAATTGGAAGTAAATCACTCCTCAGCAAATGCAAAAGAACAGAAATCATAACAAACAGCCTCTCAGACTACAGTGCAATCAAATTAGAACTCAGGATTAAGAAACTAACTCAGAACCACACAAGTTCATGGAAACTGAACAACTGGCTCCTGAATGTTGACTGGTTAAACAATGAAATGAAGGGAGAAATAAAGGTGCTCTTCAAAACCAATGAGAACGAAGACACAACGTACCAAAATCTCTGGGGCACATTTAAAGCAGTGTCTAGAGGAAAATTTATAACAATAAATGCCCACAGGAGAAGCAAGGAAAGATCTAAAATTGATATCCTATCATCAAAATTGAAAGAGCTAGAGGAGCAAGATCAAAAAAACTCAAAACCTAGCAGAAGACAAGAAATAACTAAGATCAGAGCAGAACTGAAGGAGACAGAGATACAAAAAAACCTTCAAAAAAATCAATAAATCCAGGAGCTGTTTTTTTTCAAAAGATCAACAAAATAGACAGACCACTAGCCAGATTAATAAAAAAGAAAAGAGAGAAGAATCAAATAGATGCAATAAAAAATGATAAAGGGGATATAATCACTGATTCCACAGAAATACAAACTACTATCAGAGATTATTACAAACAACTCTATGCACATAAACCCGTAAACCTGGAAGAAATGGATAAATTTCTGGACACTTGCACCCTCCCAAGCCTAAACCAAGAAGAAGTCAAAACCCTGAATAGACCAATAACAAGGGCTGAAGTTGAGGCAGCAATTAATAGCCTACCAACCAAAAAAATTCCAGGTCCAGATGGGTTCACAGCCGAATTTGACCAGACATACAAAGAGGAGCTGGTACCACTCCTTCTGCAACTATTCCAAACAATCCAAAAAAAGGGATTCCTGCCCAAATCATTTTATGAGACCAACATCATGCTGATACCAAAACCTGGCAGAGATGCAACAAGAAAAGAAAACTTCGGGCCA